GGTTCGTTATGGCGTGGTTTTGCCAAGAAAGAAGTTCTGATGGTAAAACCATCATAAAATAAAAAATGCTGCAAATGGCAGTAAATGTGAGCATGTTGTCGAGCATTCAAAGTTTGATCCGCAGAGGTGGCCTGAGCAACTTTGAATCCAGGTTGTAAGTTTCCGGGTTGTAAGTTATTACCAGGGGAGGCTGGTCATAACTTCAAGTGGTCTATAAGTGACCCATTGTAAATCGAGGAATCTGCATACCTGTGAGCTCCAAAGTTCTTTTTGGAGACAGACTCTAAAATGTTGCACAAACCTATAAATCACATGCCTGGTGTTCTAAAAGCTAAGCAATTGAATGACACTTTGGAGATTTCACGCAGGCATAATCCAATTGCTGGAATAGGATAAATCCACTGTTATGTTTCTTATTAACATAAATGGAAATGTGACAAATCTAATAGACATAAGTTGTTCAAATCATCTCTCCCTCATCCATTATGCTGCTTCTCTGGAACAAAAAGAACAAAAAACAAAATCACTTTTATGGAGTACTACCCTTCTGTCCTTACGCCTATTGAACTTGTATCTCTTATGATTTCTGATTTAATAGTAGGATGGCCAATATCCAGAAAATGTTTTATAAAATGAAGTTATTGGCAATGGCATGTTAAAAGCATATTGTACACTAACAAAGAAGATATAGATGGATGTTGACCTCAAAAATGTCATTTTCGAGGTTACATATCACTTTGCGGCATTGACTTGAGCTCCTTGCAAGAAATATTCTTAATGAATTGATTTAGGCATGCTGTTCAGTTACGAAAGCAAGGGACTCTGTTCTGAAATAGCAAAGCCTACCCTTAACTAATGGAAGCCTACCTTATAAAGACTCACACCAAAAAAACTAGAAAAACTTATAAATGTTCGATTTTCCAGGAAGGGCTTCTCCTGAGCTTTTCTTTGAACATTCTGAAGTTCAACATTAATCTTCTACAGCCATAAAAGAGAATACAGTCTCTTTGATAAAATACTTTGGCAATGAGACTAAAATCTATGATAGCAAAATATTGTCCAATGTTATATTTATTGTTAATAGGGCTGTGAAATTTTTTTCAAAAGAATTGCTTTGGAACTTGACCAGAGTTCTCTCTATTAATTATTAAAGTAGCTCTATCTAAAAAAAAAAAGATACAGCTAGTTAAAGTTAATGTAACTCTTAAAGCAGTAGCGCCATTTTAATTGTCACATAGACAGCTGAAAAATAATAAACTGATTTAATGAATAGCCAAACTGGTATTGTACTCAAGCTTGTGAAAAGTCTGAAGCACCTCCTTCAAATTATTTCTGAACTAGGCACAATCTGGTTGTTAATATACTACTTATGTCCAGTAGATTTATTGTCATCAGTTAATGGAAAAAGTTAATATGGAATATTAAACAATGGTTCATATTAAAAGATAATATTTATATGTTTATATATGCTAAATAATGCACATTTCAAAGCTATTGTCATCCTAGAAAAAATATAATGGATAAGTAGTTACAGAAATATATATTTAAAATGTTTACAGCTTAAATAAAGGACATTTTTTAAAATTCTAAGATATATTAGAAAAACTATAATACTTGAGCATAATAGTTTTAGCTCTATCATTCTCTTGAACTGGAAAATTGCTACCTTAGGGGAAATAACCTTGACACTAATCACTTGGAAATATTTCAAATAATTTTTCCGACTAGTCTTTTTCCCCCCACACATCAATTGCAGTAAAGATTACTGCAGGTATTCATACCATAAACCTTTCTACAACAGAGAAAAGCTAATTATTATATTTAAGGCATAGTTACACTATGTTATAAAGCTGTTGCAATGGACAAGTTAAACACTACATAAATGTTTTATTAAAAAAAAGATAACAATTAACAAAAAACCAACAAAGGAAAAGAAGAAAAAGAAAATGACAAAAGGAAAAGATGCAATGGAAGACGAAAAGACATATAAAAATGTAATTTCCTATTTTCTTAGCAGCAAATACAAATGATTATAAAATTATAACTTACTCTATAGTTACAAAAACGTTTTCTTATTTCTATTATCTATTTTTTTTTCTTAATCATCAAAATCAGAACTCATCAGTTCATTTTTTTTTCTATTTCATGAAAAAAGTGTAGATTTTTCTTTTGGTAATAAATGTAAATATCTTTTCACTAATCAGTGAAGTTTAGCCATGTCTATAAGTGAGGTACCCACCATTCTTACCTACCATTCCTGCATTTTGGATAATGCTAAATTTTTCCACTTTTGAGCATATAATAATCTTTCTGCAGTTGTCATAGAATAAAAACAAAGTTCCATGATTTTTTGTTCTTTCTGTTCATTACTTCCAAAAGAAAAGCCTCTCATTTCGCTTTAAAATGTTTTGAATTAGTGAGTGTATTTGTAACAAAAAATGTTTGGCTTTATTAATGTTCATCAAATATTATAAAATGTCTCTTCCTATTATTCATATTCCACAAAAATTTGAAGTACCTTCATACATTCCAGATAATTTCTCTGGTGCCAAATATCAACTCTATATTATTTATAAAAAGTTATAAAAATTCTATTTAAGATTAGAGCTTAATGTAAATTTTAACCCTTTCAATCACATATTTTCCCATTATTCATGTACTGCAATCAAATTTTTAGCCCATTTTGTCATACATAATTTCATTTCATATTCTTTTGTCTCAAATTTCAACAAAACGTTGTACATTTTAGCAATGCATATCCATCATTTGTATATAATTTTGTTTCAAGTTCGGTGTTAGATAGTTCAAAACTTTAAAGTATTTTATCTACTTTAAATTTTTCTGATAATTGTCCATAAGCAAACCATTGACAAGTATATCCTTTTATCAGATCTTAATTTGGTTTGAGCTTATATTCCCTTTGAAAAAATCCTAGCTTATCACAATGCTAACTATTTATGCTTACTTATAATTATTTATTTATAGAATACTTCTTGCAATAGGTGAAAATTATCCACTTTTTCCCCCATAGAGCAATAGGAAAAGACTAGCCTCTTAATCTGAGCTAAATTTGGATGGAAAAAGATATTTTGATCTTTGGAAGAAATCCTAAGGCATTAATTATTCTAGAAACCTTATGAAGAATATTTAGAAGGGTTATTGCTTTTAATCCGCTTAGTATGTGTGCTAACAAATTCTATATCTCAATGAGACTATTCTGGGTAAGCATTTTCTTGTATGTAGAAGTCCAAAAACCCATCTAATCCGTCTTTCGGCCTGTCCAGACGGTTGTCAGTCTGATGTATTCAAGTACCCCAGAAGCATTGATCAGGAGATGATAGCTCTTTTTGTCTTATTTCCCTGGAAAGACTGCTTAGATATGTTGTTACCTACGATTCAGGAGATAACCACAAATTGTAGCCATCAATGCTAATATCTACTGATCTGCCTTGAATTTCTCCAGTTCTCTTAAATCCCTCTAAGACAGCTATGAGGAAAGCATTTCATAATGCATTTCTGAATTTAATAATGTTTCATGGATTTTAGTTGCATTCTCCGCTCACTTGTTTTTAATAGATGATGACCAAGGACCCAATTGTCCCCACATTTGCCTCATTAGATGGAAAGTGGATCCATACCTCTTACATTCTAAATCATATTTCACACTCATTCAACTAGTGGTAACAGCCAACAAATAATCCCAATCCACAGTGGTAAGGAAAATGAGAAAGAACAATGGATTGTGTGAACAGTGTGTTGGCAACAAGTAGCAATTAATAATTTGTGATGTGGCAAGTATGAGGGGAAAGTGAAAATAAAGCACCTGGAATCATATAGAATATTCTGGAAACCCATGCCAGGGACAGCAGGAGCAATGGATTTTTCATTATGTGTGTGTGTCTATGTGTGTACTTGAATGACCAAGAGTGTATAACCCCTCCAAGGATTTATGCAGTGGCCTTGAGCCACTGTGACATTATGATTATAATAATTGTATAAATTATTATTGAATATATTTTATACTGGTTCCTATATAAAAACATCTCTAAACAGCTTACAAATATAGAAGCTATAACAGAAATAATATGAAAATCATACAACAAAACAGTAGGGAGGAATAGGTAAACAAAAACAGAAATAAAACTATTTATCCAGGCTTCATGCAAGAAATACTAAAGAAATTTAAAATATTTAGTATTAAGTGCCTCACAAGCTTCAAGAAAAGCTACTTCAGAAAGTTCAGAGATACTACAGGACCAACCACACCCACATTGGCACTAGATGGTTTTTGGCACATGGAAAAAAATCTCCACATCAGTTTCAGGGATGGACTGGGCCTGCAAAGCCTGTCCCAAATTCCTAGGGCCCTTTATGCCAAAAACAAAATCCCGATCTTGACTCATCAGCCAATTGGCAGCTAATGATTGCTTCAAAAGACTGTAATATCTGCCACAATTTGCAACAATTTCAATTTCTGAGAGTAAAACTAACTCCCTATAGAACACTTCACAGTTGTCTAAACTTAACCAGCAGCAGTAGAATAATACAATATATCATCTCTCCATTATGCTAACAACATGTAAAATTTATCTCTTTAGCCCACATCAGCAAGAATTTGATGTAAGATCACTGTTACAGCAGAACTCAATGTTAGCAGGATCAAATTCTGTACCACTCTATAATATATAATTGAATTAATCTTGTATCTTTATACCATTATTTTGTGAACATTTTAATACTTTTATCATCAGTTTAACTACATTAAAATACAAGCAGAACTGCATTTCATTTGATGGACAGCATAGGAAACTCAATACATTTCTGCCTGACTTCTTTGTCCCTGATAAAGCCTAATGCCTTGAAATCTGGACACATTTAAAGGTTAATATTAAAATATTCTTTATCTCCTAATTTTAATTTTATGATGATGATTAAACCAGCCCTTGTTAACCATGGCATCAGTAACATCATGACAGCTATTGGGGGGGTGGGAGTCTTACCTTCCGGGAAACCCTCCCAGACTTCCAAGCGATCATAGCGGCAGAATGCGCCTCCTGGAGGGTTTGTATCCGGTTCCAGTTCAAAGCTTTCAAATTCCAGGATAATCTCTGACATCTTTGGTGCAAAGATAATGTAAGTACATTCAAGGCTGTTGGGATATTTTTCAGGGAATCCTGGTGATTTGATCATTCCAGTCATGGATGTGAAGTTTCTGGAACATTCTGGTCCTGCACCACAAAAGATACAACAATATATATCCCATTTTTTAGAGTATTACAGTTAGCAAGAAAATAAACTACGCCACTTCTCTTTTAAAAAATGCAGCATGGCCTGTTGCCCCATGTTAATCTCCATATTGGTCACACAGCTAACTTGTTCCTAATACTGATAATTGTTACTAAAATGCAATTCCCATTTAGCCCATTTTTCTACCAGACCCAGCTGAAAAAGTAAACTTGGGCCAGTTCTGAAATAGAGAAAAAAATTATGACAATGTCATATGGGAACAATGAAAGAGTAAACTGCAGAAATATTGTCAGCCCAAGGGAAATAATTATAGTCCCTTTAAGCTTAAATCTTTAAATCTCCAGGTTGACAGCCCTTTATTGGTAAAACAGAATGTTTTGCAAAAAGAGGGAGTGTGGTGTTTGGTCGATGGAACAATGGTTTCATATTCCTAGAGTAGTGGCTCACTAAGTCTTCCAGATGTGACCTATGCCTTCTTGACAAACTAGATGTGAAAGGTAATTCTTACTTGTATCAAGGGTGACTGACTCATTCTGAGCAGTGTTGACATAGGTGCACCAGTGAAATGATGCTGTTAGTGAAGGTATGATAAATTGTTTGATTACTAGCAATGTTGATCAATTCTAACTAACTTCAGTAATTGTGCAAAGCAATTCTATTGTAGTGCTACAAGCTGCCCATGTGGAAGGGCAATGTCCACTGCCCTTGTGACTTCTAATTTCTTTGCAGAAGTAACTTTTTCTAATGCAATCACAACAGATGAGGAAAATAACTGTCCTAAGCATTGATTCACACACTGCAACATTGGTGCAGACATATATACAGGAAGATGCCATTCCTATAAGAGGCAGCAAGGATATTTGAAAAAAACACTTCCCTATATAGGAATGTATGAGAGTCTATTTTCAAATTTCATTGCTATCAGGATTACTCCCTGCTGTGTTGCAAATTTCATTCATTCATTCATTCATTCATTCATTCATTCATTCATTCACTCACTCACTCACTCAATCATCCACCTCACTCATTCACTCACTAACTCTCAATAACACGACCCTGCAGCATACAAGAGGAGGGGGAAAAAACTTTCCACAACAAGCACAAAATAAGACCAAAAACTATAATACATTAAAGTCAACTAAAACATAAAATGGCAACCGGACCAAAATACACTATATTGCAACTCATTCAATTGGGACTCGACTCAACCTAACTCAAACAAATAGGAGAAAAGCCAGATCTTGACCACCTTTCTAAAGGTTTGCAAGCCTGGGATCAACTATATATTTGGAACAAATTGTTCCAAATGTAGGATCACATTGAATTCCACAAATATATAGAAAATTAATCTTTTCTTTCTCAGCTGCAGCCTTCAGAAAATCTCTTTTATGTTATCTGATTTCCATTCATACACCAAAGTAGTTTCAAAATAAGATAAATCTATTGTCCCATAGCAATACAGACTAGGATGATGGATATTGCAGCCTAATATATCTGGACTCCACCAAGTTTGGAAATACTGTTTTATAGTTAAAAATGTCTCCAATTCTTCTACATTTTGTGGTAGAGAATTTTCCCCTATGACAAGAGATATTAAGACCTAGAGCTTCAGCACAGATGTATCGTACTAAATAGGATTTCCTTGTTGACAAAGTTATAGTCTCTCTCTCTCTCCCTCTCCCTCTTCCTCTCTCTCTCTCTCCCTCCCTCCTTCTCCCTCTCCTTCTCTGTAATGCAAAGAAAATTTCCTCCCTTCCTTCCTTCCTTCCTTCCTTCCTTCCTTCCTTCCTTCCTCAGTCCCTCCCTCCCTTCCTCTGACAAATAAATTTTGATGAAGGCTAATCTAAGCAAATGGCCATATTTATCTATTCATTGATAAAGCTAGTGACAACTCTAGTCTGTTGCATATGTTTATAAATAAAGTCACAATATGCAATGGAGTAAAATAATTCAGAACATGCAATTTCCTGCCTACTTGGTATCCTGTCAATCCAAAGTTAGCAAACAAGAGAAAAGAATTAGTTCATATTTGTTTCAATTTTTGCTTAGTCTCAAATATTTGTTTTCAATATATTTTGCTCTACTTTTGTAAACTTAGTAAAGGAAAACAAAACTGGATCAAATCTGATTACAGCTATCTTCATGGACACATGCATATTGATATTTTGACAACAATATATTTATAGTTTGCCTCTGCTTTCCTTAGTTGTTTTTTCCCCAATTCCTTTTATAGCCAGAGAGGGTAAAATTATGAGGGGTCTTTGATGCTCTCTGAGCTTGCTTGTTTTTTTTTACAGATGTTTCATTACCTAAACATCATCAATGTTAGTCCTGATGATGCTAACTAGTTGAGTTTAATTTATTGTCATTGCACCTCGTATAATGAAATTAAATAAAGAAAACAAGAAAATAAGCAAGCTCAGAGAGCACCAAAGACCCCTCATGTCAATCCTGAGCTGCAAATATTCTCCTTTATTAGGGTCAACTATCCTATTCTGGGCACATTATGTGAATATTTAGCTTTCTGGAGAAGGATCTAATGATGGAAAAAATGAAAGAGAAAGGATAACTAGCAGCAAGCTGGATGGACTTGGTTACAGTGGCAATAAATACACTGTTGGACAATCAGCTGAAGGATCAGGTTAGAAATAGATAGTTATGGAGATTCAGAGATTCATCTCTTATCTAGCCTAACTTCTACTCAACTACTTTATCTGTGTAACGTGAAATTTCTGCTGCAGTTGAGAATTAGCAAATAATTTTAATAGAAAATTTTTAGATGGAGAGACATTTAGAACTACAAAAGCACTATAAATTAAAGATAATATTTTTAAAAACAGCAATGAATTCTAACAAACTGTTAAAACCATATGACATCCTATAGCCTAATTTGTGCTATAATGTCCTAACTCATAGGCAAAATGATCAGGCAAATGAGGTAGAGGTGAAAGAAGGTAATGATAGGATTTTGTAGCTTTGCCACTCAAATTGTATAAGATAATATTCTATACTCAATGATCTATCTCATTGTCCTGTAATGGACAAAGAGGCATATTCACACTATACACATTTTTATTGGAATCTAATATTAAATTTTACTGCAATCTAATATTTAATTATTATTAAAATATTAGATACAGAATTCAATTTATTTATTTTTTATATTTTTTTATTCCACTTTTACAAGTAGTCCTCATAGTTATAACTGACCCTTGGATTATGATCTTAAGTCATTGTGCTTGTAAGTTGATGCATCATGTGATCACACCCAATTTTTTTGACATATGTGGTCATTAAGCAAATCAATTTTCCCCAGTGAGCATTTTTTCCTGGAAACTGGAAGTAAATTTGAGAAACTATCAAAAAGCACCCCAAATTGCAGTCACATGTTCGCAGTATCACAAATGGCTGTGTAAAGGTTGCCAGATGCCCAAATTACAATCGTGTGTGTGTTTGTATTTGTTTGTGTCTGTGAATGCACATGTAGATGCAATTGTCATAGGTGTACAAATGGGGCTTTTGGGGATCCACTGTAACTTTGGTCATTAAGTGACTGTTTGTAAGCTAAGGACTATCTATATTATTTTTATAAATAATTCAAGGTGGCAAACATATTAATTACTCCTTCTTTCTGATATTTCCCTCACAAAAATAACACTGTGAGATTGGTTGGGCTGAGAGAGCATGACTGCCCCACAGTCACCCAGCTAGGCTTGGAGCTAAAGTGGGATTAGAACTGCTGATATTTAGCCTGGTGCCTTAACTACTATACTAAACTGAAGCACTAAACCAAAATGGCTTTACAGTAACTGTAATTCTCAGACCACACATGCGCATGGGAACTTCTTCATTTTTGAACATAGAAATAGCATTTCCACTTTGACATACTATGGCATAAACCTGAATTAATATTACTTTGGGGGCAATAATTTTAAATATTCTGACTTTTGAGTGTGCAAGTTCTCATTTATAATGTTGCCTTAATGTACCTAATGTCTTTCTGAAGGAGATTTAAGACATCATACAAGGAAATCAATAAAGGGAACTGTTGAGTGTCACTGAGATATCAAGGAAAAAAAAATCTGTACTGAAACACTCACTTTCTGCAAATTGCTGGTTTTGGAGACCTTTCACTAGATCTTTATGCACCACGGCCTTAAAAAAATCATTGTTTAATTGGCACGGTACTAATAACCGAAGTTGTTCGGTAGCTAAATGTTTTGTCCTGGAGGCAAAACCTTTCTATAAAAATTAACATCTTGGAATAGGGTGGAATGTTGTTTTATTTTATTCATCACCTAGCTTTGTTCAGATCATGTTCCTGGATGCCAAATACTTTTTCATATTCCAAAAAACTATTCCAATGACTGTGATCTTTACTCACAAAATTACTTCAAAAAGAATTTGACCATGGGACAGAAGTCATTTGCCAGTCTTTGTCAGAGCAGAAAACCTCATACATCCGATTCATGTGGCATTTTATTTGCAAAAATGCTTGCATTCATCTGTCCTGACTGAAATAAATCAGGTGGCGTTTGAGGCCTAAATAAAAATTACTGCATTCCTTCTAGGACTTTTTAGCAGCAAATGTTTAAAAAATATTCTGATGTTCTACACACCATCCATTCTCAATCCACAATGGACACAATGAATTAACAAAGATTACCATATTGGGAAAATATTTGTAATATTATAAAAAGACAAAATCAACATATTAAAGGCAAAAAAAGGATGTATAAATTAAGCAGGACTTTCAAATGAAGCTAATTATTTAATTCTGACCTTTTCCATTCAACAAATATTTAATTAAACAGTTAATTGTAGAAAAAAGTTGGAAAATCACATTAGCAAAATCAGTAATAAAATTAGGAATATGCTTTCTCTTTCTTTTGTTACAAGGTTCAGAAGTTTGCATTTCTTTACTATTGTTTTGACATGCAGTAACCATTTTAAATGAAAAAGCTTATTAATTTAAATTAGAGATATGTATAAAATACAAATTTGTTGATTTATTTATTTAAAATTCAAAAGTTGCTAAATCGATGTTCACTCATGAAGGCTCAAATTAGTAATAAAAATTTGTGAACATATTACAAGCAAATAATAGGTTATATTCATCACAATTGTAGCTTTCCAGAGTAATAGGATTTACTGTTATGAGAACAGAGTGCAAAAAAGAATTATATTTCTATTAGAACAGACCAAAAGTTAGTGACTTGATACACTGACTTCCACAGTCTTATGAAAGCAATGTTCTAGAAACTAAATTGATATTAAATATTCTTTTAATTCCCCTCTCTCCAAGTAACAGTGACCTTCAAATTGAACAATCCCACTGTCAATATTTTATATTAAAAACAATTAGCACGACAAGATTAAGCAGCTTGCTCACCTCTTTTAAAAATTTCATAGCGAATGGAGAAGCCTGCTCCATGAGTTTCATAATCAGAGACAAACTTGATTAACAGGTATGGTCCTGTAGATATCACAGGTGGGGGAGCAATTTTGCCACAAAACTTTCCCCACACTCGCCCATTTGCACTGTCTCCATCAATCACTTCAACATAATCGTACCTGGTAGATAAATTGAAGGGGAAAAAAAACTTTTAACTTCCAGGGAAGAAAAAAAAGAAAACTAATTAATTTAAGAACCACAGCCATACAGCACAGATAATGAAGAATAATGCTAGCCTGTTTGGAAGCTGTATAATCCTAAAAGATATGTGCAAAATGAAAAAAAAAAATTAAAATGGACTACATCATGTTGGTAGACATCATCTGGCGAGATGGAACTATTAGGAAGAATAGCACCATTATAGTTACAGACAATATCAGCTAAAGTAACCAATTAACAAGAAAAAGGAAAACTCGTGAGCACAATTCTGTATTATTAAATTGCATTCCTTTGTCTATCATGGCATTGTTATCAATACATAATACACTAAATTCTTTTCAAATGGTGGTGTTCTTGTCTGAATTCTAAAACATCATTTTGGCTTTAATTTCTGTACAATACTTGTATTCTGACATGGAATCCTGCTAGTGTATAGTCCACAGAATAATAAATGAAGTTTCAGATATTATGCTACCTTTATTGCTTTGCTACTTTCTTAATTGTTACACATTTGTGTATTTTTAAAAACCATATTACTTAAAATGACTATCGTAATATAAAAATGGATTTTGCATAAGGATTTAGAAGCTCTGTAGAAAGATTTGATTCTGTCTTCTACACACAAGCAAGACACATGTATAAAATAATAAAAAAGGAAATATGCAATAATGAAAATGAAACTCTGCTTCAGCTGCATGAGTATATTAATCCATTTTTTCAGTCTCAAAAGATTGTACAATAACAGAGGCATATAAAACAGCATAAAAATATGGACTTGCTTCTTGCCAAGTCAACTTGTAGACCAATTAGATTGAAATTGTCCATTCAGGTTTAAGTTAGTTCCCGAAGTTGAGATTAAAAGATAATTTTCACAATTATCTAAGAATTTCATAATGGAAGATTATAAGTGAGAATTTATGTTACTAAAGATTAAAAACCCCAATTATTAATTAAAACTCACATAAACACAAACATGAAAAAAATGGTTACCAAATTTCTGAAACATTAATTGGACACAAAACCCTGAACAATAGCAACAAGTAGTGGCATTTATCTTGGCAGTCTTCAAAGGCTAAATCAGTCAGTCCTCATAAATCTTTGTATGGAATATTGCCAGAAAGCCCCAGAGATAGAGACTATAGATTGAAAACCTTAGAAAATAGAACATAAATGTCCTGAACCACAGAGACAAAACAAAAATAACCTAGTTCTGCATTGATGACAACAAACCCACAGAGATGTCCATGAAGATATCAGGACTTAAACCAGACTCCAGAGAAGTTAACCTAGTGTTTTTCAACCTTAGAAATTTTAAGTTATGTAGACTTGAACTCCAGAATTCCTTAGCTAGCAAGTTAAGATTGCCAAGGTTGAGAAACAGTGATCCAACGAGCTACATCTTAAAGACCGCTACTGTACTGTGGAATGTGAATTAATCCCTTTTCCTGATATTGCAATAATCCTCAGAACCACCAGGTTCTGGTCACCATGATATAAAAAAGATGCTGCTAAAAAAGCACAGAGAAAAACAACAAAAATGATAAGATGCCCTAGGCTTTGCATCTGATACAGATGGATGATGGAAAAAGTAGACAAGAAGTACTTTCCCCTCATATTCGATCATTACTCAATTGCTCCTCCCAGCAATTACTGATATAAAAAGTAAAAGAAAGTAGTTTTGGAGCTCATGGGTTAGTTGGAATGCTTTTTGGATGAAAAAGAGATTTTGATCTGGAATTTTGAAGTTGGGAGAAACACTGGCCCTGTCAGACAAATGCAGTTCAGTGCTGAGAAAATAAGACCTTATACTTAGGCAAGAAAAACCCATCCACATATATAGAAAAACCAAACCACATCTAGGAGTCCTAATGGACAAACATTTAAGTAAGTGGTGCAGTTGCCACAAAGGCCATCAACAGAGGGATAATATCTATTATTTGAAGTGATAGTAACGCTTTATACAAATGCTACCAACCTCTTTTCCATCGAGGACCTGTATACTGCTTGAGTCAAAAAGAGGGCTGTGAAAATATGTATGGACCCCTCACATCCTGGACACAAACTGTTTCAACTCCTACCCTCAAAACGATGTTATAGATCACTGCACACCAGGACAACCAGACACAAGAACAGTTTTTCCCCAAACACCATCACTCTGCTAAACAAATATTCCCCTTAAAGTTAAATGATCTACTATGTCTGCATTACTATTACTATTCATCTTCTCATCCTTCCTTTCACCCATCTCCTCCCACTTATGACTGCATTAATGTAACTTTGTTGCTTGTGTCCTTATGATTTTTTAAAATTGACTGTTTACTAGTATAATTTGATTTGATTTGATCACTTATTGTTGTTTCCTAGTACGATTCAATTGCTTATTGTACCTTATGACTATCATTAAGTGTTGTACCTTATGATTCTTGATGAATGTATCTTTTCTTTTATGTATAATGAGAGCATTTGCACCAAAACAAATTCCTTGTGTGTCCAACCACACTTGGCCAATAAAGAATTCTATTCTATTCTATTCTATTCTATTCTATTCTATTCTATTCTATTCTATTCTATTCTATTCTATTCTATTCTATTCTATTCTATTCTACTCTACTCTACTCTATTCTACACTGCAAAATTGGAATACTGCATCCAGTTTTGATCACTGTGATATAAAAAAGATCTTGAGATGCTAAAAAAGAGCACAGGAAAGAATAACAAAAATGATAAGGAGTTTGAAGACTAAACCACACAATGAACATTTGCAGGAACTATGTATGTCTAGTCTAACAAAGACAAGGACTAGAAATGAAATGATAGCAGTTTTCCAATATTTGAGAGGTAGTCACAGAGAAAAGGAAGTTGACCTATTCTCCAAAGCATTGGATGGCAGATGCTTTGGACTAGAATTAGGAGAAAGGACTAGAATTAAGGAGAAATTTCCTGACAGTAAGAACAATTAATTAGTGAAACAGCTTGCCTCCAGAACTTGTAGGTTTTCCATGGTTTTAAAAAAGAGATTGGACAACTATTTGCTTGAAATGGTATAGGTCTTCTGCTCAAGAAGTGGTTAGATTAGAAAACCTACAAGTTCCCTTCCAATCTTGTTATTCTATCTTTTATGTTCAATGATTATAGAAAAAATTGAATTTTAAAAACCTTTATTTATTTAAAGCATTTTTATAGCCTCCCATCTTATATCAAACTCTGGGCAACTCCCCAGTTATTGAAATTCAGATTTTATTAAAATTTAATTTGGAGATTCCTTCCCAGAATTACCCACTGAGTGTTTGATTGATTATATGCTGTCATGTCCGCACTGACTTTTAGTAGCTACACAGTTTTTCTCTAGGATAATCTATCCCTAATTTGGTCCTTGAGATCTTCCAATCGTGCAACATTTGCCACTGTAATTGAGTCCATCCACTTTAATGCAAATTGTCCTCTCCTTTTCTTTCTCTCTGGTTTATCCAGTATCATAGACTTCTCAAGGTTGTTTAGAAGACATCTAAAATAGAATAATTTGACTCTGGTTATTAGTGTATTGAATGGGAATGGGTTTGATTTGCTGCATGATCTGTTTTAGTGTTTCTCAATTTCAGATATTTTAAGATATCAACCCCCAAAATTCTCCTGCTTGCATGCTGGCTGGGAAATTCTGTGAGTTGAAGTCCACAAATCTTAAAGTCGCTGAGGTTGAGAAACATTCAGTTTTAAAAATTCTTTTCGGCTATGTATGGTATTTTTGGAATCTTCTCCAAATACCACAGTTCAAAATAGTCGATGTTCTTTCTATTATGCAACTTCAAAATCTAAATTCCATTAAAACAGAACATCAGAAGCCTAAGCTAACTATTAGCACCAAATGTTTCTATTAGGTAAATATGGGAATATATGAATTATATTTCCTTGTCTTCTTTGTCTCTCTATCTTCCTGTGCATTTTATTCTCTTCTGTGACATATTACTCCTTCTTGATTCAGTTCCTTCCAATCTCTTCTGTTCTCCTCTGCACTCCTTTCTAAACGCTTCAAAATCTCCATCTTAATTCCACTTAGTTGTCAGGCACCCTCTAGAAAGGGGATCTATTTGGCTAGGAAGTATTTCTTTGTTGTTATGGCAACCATATGAGATGGGAAAATCTCTCACCAGGTAGAACAGATGTTACAGAATTTACATCAAGTCATTCTTCAAATCCTTAATGGGCTTTTACAGTTGCTTCCTTTTAAGAAGTGAATTAACCTCCTTCCGTTAGCGATGGTTGAATGTTTACATTTTCTACATTCAAGCTGTCCTATCTAGATAATTCAAGAATTATCTAACTAACAAGGAATTGGCTCAGCCAATTCTTTTCAAACATAGTTTCTAGCAGACACCTCCCACTGGAATTCAAAAAAAGCCAAAGTAATATTGCTTCTGAAACCTGGCAAACCACAAGACAGAGAAGAAATCTACCACCCCATTGGCCTTCTGAGTACTTGGTACAAATTTTTGGAGAAATGTATCATAAACAGAATTGGACCCAACCCACAATAGATACATTTCTGCCAGTGGAACAAGCCAGCCTTCATCATATTTGCAGCCGGGTTGATCAGGTGCTGAGCCTAACAAGACATATTGAGGCTGGTTTCCATTGAGGCTTAAAAATCACAGCTGTGTTCATCAACCTTACAGCAGCATATGATACCGTGTGGAAGAAGGATCTGCTTTACAAATAGAGTCACATCATCTCTGTAAAATCCTCTGTTGCCTAACAAACAACATGCTCAGCGATAGATTCTTTCAGATTATTATGGGGAACAATGTTATCAAGTTAGGAAGACTCCATAATAGCCTTCCACAAGGTTCTGTACTGGCACTCACATATCTTTATATCTCAGATATACCAGCTATAAGGGGTGTAAATTTGGGTATGCAGATGATCTGGCCCTAGCAGCACAAGATAAAAAATTGGAAGTATTGGG